TTAGCTGAACAAATAAAGCCAAGTAAATAATCAAAATAGTTTTTAATTTATTTTATTTAGTTTTGTTAGTTACTAGTTATTATACATTTATATTGGCAACACTGATTATAGAATCTATGGTCTGTGTGTCTTTGGCGGATGTTAATATGCATAGTATCTTTAATAATGATGATTGTGATGATTGTCTTGAAGTTAATAAAAGTAAAGTTATGTTGTGTAAAGTTGTAAAGGTGATTAATAAAACTATGAATATATACAAAAGAAGGAAGTTTCTTTAACCAATTACATTAACAGAGTTTTATTCAACAAATCGAATAAATAAAACCAATTCAAATGTACATATTTATCGTTTAATAAAATATCACAGTTTTAAATTACAATATTTATTTACAATCACTACAGTTTATAACATTCAAAATACCTATAAATTGGCAGTTCATAAAATGCGTACAATTTTATTTATTTGTAATGAATTAGATTCAGTCTTCAACAGAATGTGAGGTGACGATTTTTCCAGAAATAGCCCCGTAAAGCTTCCGCAACAAACAGCAATAAAAATAATCCTTATTTTTAAATTCTTAACGTTCTAAAATGAAACATTTACATTAATACAAATTTAAAAGTCCTAGAGGAACTATAAATAATTTTAAAATAATTACATTTTCATTTAATCTAAACATTAAATAGTCCAAAAATTCTAACATTTTAATTAGATTACAACTCTTTTTGTCATTTTATTAAATAACATACAGAAAGTTTATGAAAAAAGTACGAGTACCTATACAAAAAGGCGGCACAATGAGAAATCTCATAGAGGCTTTTGGCGGGAACTTAACCGCAAGCGTATTGCTCTTCTAGTTTATTTAATAGCTTGATGTGGTTTTTGTTAAGTAAAATACTGCGATTTTGTGTATAAAATATGAAACATCTGCAAAGTAAACTATTTGTACAAACGATTAAAACAAGTGTTCCGATGAAGGTATAAACCTTAAGTTACTGTGTTTGAGATATTTTGTGAAGAATTTTGTTAATAAATTATTGTACAAGAGAACTTAGATTACTGGAAACCGGCAAAAGTACTAATCGTACGAGTTCAACACCAGGAAAAAAATTGATGGCTTTAAAAACCTGATGATAAATAAAAATTCTTAAAAAATCCGTCTGCTGGTGTTTTGCTTAATTATATTATGTAGTTTTTTAATTGGTGTGTAGAACACGAAACACCTGATAAGAGACTCAGTTTAGACTAAACCTAAGAGGTGAGCTTTCAGCGTGACCATCGTTCAAGGAGGCGTGCAACGTGGCGATGCGTTTGTCATACAATTTGAATGGCCGCCATTGAAATACACTCAGCGTGTGTTGGTCACAACGCCACGCTGTCCACCCCGCTAAACGCCTTCTACTGAGTTCTTAAGGACAGTTCAGATCACGCTATAGGTAATATATAGTATTAGCAAATATTATTGCTTAGCATTTTTGTATGGACTTGTTCACACTGCTCTATGATACCAAACTGGATATACTGGCTTACTATACGCGATAAAATAAAGCGATTTTTCTAAACTTTATGCTATATTATACGACTCACTTCACTTATCCATCACCTCACAAGTGAGACGTACGACGCAACCAACTAAGAAGGATGCGCTAAGACGCTGAATTTTTTCTTTTTATTATCTTAGTTTTTCGTGTTTAAAATAGCAGTGTGAACGCCATGCCCTATAGTTAAAGCTTATAACGCAGTACGCTATGCTATATAGCTGAATGGTATAGCGTAGTCAGAACTGACCTGTAAGCGAGTCACAGACTACGCAGATACGATGCTATTTCATCTTCGTATAAAACTTAATTACCTGAAACTATCACACACTACGTAGATACGATAATATACGAAATTATACATTAACTCGAAATCCTTCACACTTGCTAGACGTGTTTTTGGAGCGGATTGTTTATACACAGTGTTACCTACAATGAGTTGGTGTACATTGCTTCTAGATTTGCTAGACAAGCTCGTAAGAATAGGATTCAGATTTTGATTTTGATGCACGTGTTTCATTACCATTTAATATAATTATAACTTCTAAAAAAGGTTAAAACCTACTTCAAATTGCTAAAAAAGAAGTTATTTATTTTCTACTTTTATGGGTATTTTTTCCCCAAATTTGGGACAATATAGCACCAACCTTGAAGTGTAATATCTTTAATAAAAAAGAATCAACAAAATTGGTTCACAATTTGCGGAGATATCGCATAACGTACAGACAAAAATACAAACACTGGAATTGAGAACTCCTCCTTTTTGAAGTCGGTTAAAAAGGCCGAGAATTTTGATAGAACTTCATATAAAGCTTTAAAATAACCGAGACGAATTTAATCGCATTTTTGGCGACCATCCTGTATTAACCCGCAGGTAAAATCCTATGCCATCATCATTGATATACTAAAAATGCCATCATTCACCAACTACTAAAACTTGACCTCGAGTCCACGCTCAAAATTGTCCGAGCCAAAAGAGTTCCAAAATGCAAAAAGAGCGCCAACTGCGCGCCAGTCTTAGTTTTGTCGACAGACATAATAATACACATCCAGAATGTCGTACTGTATTGCAACTATTTCTATTTATGTATATTTTCGGTAAGGACTATTATTATTTAATAATTTAAAAGTAATATTTTGCTTAGATCCATAGTATTTAATTTAAATTCATATAAATTATAAAAAAAATAAAAAAATAACAATGTTCATTTTGGCTAAAAACTGCGTAAGGTGAAAATAGTGCAGCAGTTGAAGTTAATAGGCTGCTAAATTGTCGCAAGTATAATTGATCTGTTTTCTAATGACAATATGGTTTGAATTAGGATGTTATTTTTTTATACATGTACCTGCACTTTTGTAGGTTGACTCGGGTCAGTTTTCGTGAATTTTGTTCTAGACCCGCCGTCCATTTAGTTATTACTAAATGGACAGTTACTGATCAATTCCATATTTGTATTTGCAGTTTTTATCTACAGATCAATTTGTATGAGTAGGTAATATTGTCACTATCTTTCGATATATTTATGTTGGTGCTCACAGATAATTAACGGTGACATATGAATTGTCTGCACTGCAATTTAATGAAATTTCATAGAGAGTGATAATGAAAGATGTGCGCTCAGATGCAGATAAACTATTGTGCCTGGGTAGTTTGTGACACGCTTTACATCCATCCTTAGAGGAAGCCGCAACGCCCTGTCTGACCGCAACTACACGTATTTACTGTGTCCGAAGTAGACACGCCACGCTACATGCCATGGAAATGGGCCGAAGACGACACATCGAAAAAGTGGCCCCAGTCTATCGCCGTACTGATTCGAGTTAATACATAATTTCTATAAACACTTGAAAAAACGCCGTCATAAGGTCTAAAATTGCGTAGCGCCCGCGACGAATTAAACCGCTTAGAAATTGTCAGAATCCTAAAATATTTTTTTTTAATTATTGATTTAAGTAATCAAAATAATGAGCAAGTAAATTATGAATATTGATGTTATGAATATATTTGAGTGATTCCCAAACATATAGATTAAGTAATTTCGTTGTAATTTCAACTATAGTGATTTTTAAAGGTGTTTTCGCAAATAATTATGATCGAGTCAAAATTATACAATCGTGTTCTTGAACAATCAAATTCAAGATAAAGACATGAATTTACCTATATCAAAATTCCACTTTCGTTAGTGGTATCATAGTCCTATACTATTCGATGAAAGGAGGTGCATTTTTTCGCGGTGTCGCCTTAAACCTTAAAACCAGACCCATATTGTATATATTACATTATTTTTAAATAATAAAGCGAAAAAATGCCTCTGTACGTATATTTTCCTACATTCAATGTCGATTCATATTTACATCGATTTTATTTTATAAATATAGTTACAGTAAGTGGTCATTTCGAACAAGAACCGATTACTCATAATAGCACATGATTAGTATTTAAAAACTTCGTTGCTACTAGAGCTGTCAACTTCATTCGTATTACGGCATTTTTGCAGAAAAAAATTCCGTTTGAAAAATATTATAAAGAATGTAATCATACCGAGCTGACCTTGCAATGTAAAACATACGCTTGAAGCAAAAAATATTATTGCTCTCACTTTTAATAGATTTTAATAACAAAGAAATATAATCGAATTTAAAACTTGTAATCTTTGTTTTGTTATGTTTATTAATTTTTCTATTGTTAAAATTGACAAATGTTTTGTTGTACAAATATTACATAAATAACTTATATAATACGATTTGGGTGGGTACGTGAAGTTTACTGCCCTGACACGGAAGAAGGCGGCTAAGCCACAAAAGTATGTTTCGAAGTATCGTTACCGAGAAAAATTGAAATAAAGCGCGAAATTGGTTTTCTTGATAGATATCACCGAAAAAAAATTTCAACTATTGGAATCCATTAAAGTAAAGTAAAAAAAAAATTACGAATCTTTCACAAATACTTTTGTATGAAATTATTGGCATACTGTTAGACTAGAGCACTGGCAGAATATTAGTGCTGCGGTTATATGTGCTTACTCGATAATATAACGTTTATTCGGATGTCTTAGCCTATTTTATGCACGCTGTTCAGAGCAAACAAATACACAAACATAAATCAATTGAAATTATGTAACGTTTTTTTTTTTTGCTTCGTGATAAGCCTTTTTTATAATGACTTTGTAATTGTAAAAAAATCTTACTACGCATAATTTTATTTATTTATTTTTTGGAGTGCTGCAAAGTAATCAAAACGGCGGGAATATTTGAAATAATTTAATTAAATGCTATATAATCCGTCAAAAAGCTAGTTTGTTATGCTGCAAATTACTCGAATTGTCATTAATTAAAAATGACAATAAAGGGCAACAAAATACGTAAAAACAATCGATTTGACAGCCCTAGTTTTAGGCCTAAATGCAATAAAAACAACAACAACTTAAACTTAAAACACACATATTATTCAACATAAATGCCTATTTTACAATAGTTAGACATATCTTATCTCTATAGCTCGTCTCTAGGGAACCGGTGGGTAAGGTTACGGCGACGTCCACTTTGGAGTGGGAGATAGGTGATGACGTCACGAGCTCCGCGAGCTGCGAAGACGAACACTCACTCGACCGTGACGTCATAGTCCTTGCTGGGAATACAATTATTATAAAACACATTGATTGCAAAGTTTTCATTAGATTTGAGAACTTTATATTGTAATAAAGTTTAAGTATATCTAGTGTCGTTGCTCATAGGGTATGTTTGCTATGGTTGCGATGCCTGGCAAGTGGGTTGGCAACCGCAGTTCATTAATATAGTTTTTCTATTATCAGAAAGATGCTGCTGCTCATCTCTAGTCTCAGTTTCCCTCTTTCGCCTCTTACTACACCCACGGAAATATATGGGGAAGTGGATATTCTTATACCGCCACTACTTGGCATACCTTAAATCCTGAAAACATATTTGTACAACCAGTGCTTGTTGCCAGTGATGACTTATGAATCTAAGACGTGGTCCTTAACTGCTGGCCGTATAAAGAAGCTTAAGATGACTCAGCTAGCTCTGGAGAGGGCTTCGGGTTTCACTGCGTAAAACTTAATGAGTGTAAAAATGAGGATATCCGCAGTAGAACCAGTGTAACCAACTTAGCCCACTTAGGCTGAGTGGCAATGGGCTGGCCTTATAGCTCGAAGAACTGACAACCGATGGAGCAGAAAGATTCTCGAGCGGCAGCCTCGTACCGGTAGGCGAAGTGTAGGGCCGCTCCTACTAGATATAGTGAGGATCTGGTAAGACGTGTAAGAAGTCGATGGATGTAGATGACCCAAGACTGTGCTTTGTCATTGGGGGAGGCCTATGTTCAGCAATGGACTTCTGTAATGATCATGATGATATCTAATGTCATCTGTTTTCGGCATTGAACTAACAGAGCGACATATTCACATTGCAATTAGACGCATTAATAAGAAAAAAATATATATAATTTTCAACCCCAGACTCAACTAGACAAAGTTTACTTCGCAGTGGTGAATTTGCAGTGAAAACACGCTCGTTAGGGTAGTTATCTAAAATGGTGATTTTCATCTCAATGTTATTCTAGCATAGTTTTTTACTTGCCCGCTGTACAGAGGGTACCAACTCATCGTCACCATCATCATTACTTCCCATCACGGGTCCATCCACCTGCATCCATCAAGTGCATCGTTACTTCTCCACTTCTTCTAATAAACGCTCAATAAATCGCAACGGTAACATTTTTGCTCCAATTAAGACCTGCATGATATCAAAGAGACCCAATTACACTTATACTTACAATTGGTATAGCAGCTCGAGGCCGAGTCACCTGACGGACTGTACGGCTTCATCTCGTAGTGGTTGCTGCCCAAAGATGACTGCTGACGACTTCGGTTGCCGAACGGTGAGGAATAACTAAAGTAGGAATTTTTTATGTAGTGCTATAAAGGAGACAATTTTTTTTTTTTGTATGGAGAATTGGCCCACCACAAATTGTGGCATAACTTAATGAAACACATATCGATTTACTCCTTATAATTTTCATATTGCAAAAGTAATATTATTTTTACCGTATCTAACGGGAACACTGAGAAATTTACAATTAAAACAATGAATATCACAATAACCTAAAAACAAACTAAAATCGATGGTCTAGAAGTTATCACCGGTATTATAAGTTAAAATAATGCACTGGTCAATAATTAATAGTTTAAAACAAAGTCGTAGATGCATTCTGCATTCACGTTTTTTTTAAGATTGATGGAAAATCCTTTTAGTAGTTCGTTCTTCTTTAGTAGTTCAAATTTTTTTTCATATTACATTAGCCAGAACATGAATATCAAAACAACAGTTTTTTTTTTAAGATTCCTTTTAGATTTTCATAAAATATTTAGGCCGTTTACTTTTTAATAAATTGGAATAATTTTTTGTGTTATAAAATTAAATTACGTTAAAATTTCTAGTGGGCCCAAAAATATAGATAGTTAAATTTGAAATAACTTTTTTTTAATTGAAATTATTTTTTATTAACCTACGAACTATACTAAATATATATAAATATATGATATTGTGTTGTTTATTATTGTGTACCTTTTAAGATTGTTAAGTTTTTTTTTTTCAAAAAAAATATTACGCTGGGTTTCTTGCTGTTTCTTCCCAGAACAAAGGTATTTTTCCGAAACATTAGGAAATTAAACATAGGAGTGACTTTCAAGAAGTATTATTTATAATCATTATTGAATAAAAAACTTTCTATTTCATGTCTGCGTACAGCAGTATCATCTTACTATCTGATATATTGGCTAGTTAGATGTTTATACATTTGAAAAAGTTCTAATTCCGGCATATTTGGACAACAGTGACAAGTTTAACAACACGTCACTTTGTAAAACAACGTATTACAACTTCCCGATGTGTAAAAGTGAACGCCGAAATGAAAGAAACGGATGCGTATGCTAATAAACTAGAAATAAAGCGGGCCTTCCGAATCAAAAACAAACGGACTCACAAACAAACAGCTAGATCATAGATCACTATATTAATAGCGAGTTATGTCAGTCGTCCGCTCAGTTGTCGGAAGCTGATGGAAACATCACATCAAAAAGGGAAAGAATATAGTTGTTGAAAGTAAGCGTTGAAAATAAAACCTACTTATTCAGAGTATAATAATACAAATAGAGAACAATGAATATGGTTATAAATAATAATAGAAATAATGTTTATTATGAGATATATTTAAAATTAATACAATTTAATTAGGTTAATGTTACCTAAGGTTGTTTTTAATGAAGAGATAGCTTTTTTCTGTATTTGCTTTTTAATCTATAAAAACGGAATATACATGAAAACATGTATTTCACACAGGTGATTAAAATTTGGTACATTTACAAAATGCAAATATGAACAGTTCTAAAAAAGAATTATCAACTAATGGGGTTGATTTTAAAGGCGAAAAAAGAATGTTGAATTTTGAGATCGTTGTGTCACCTTTTTATATATTACCCAAGTCATTGTTCTTTCTACCAAATTGGTACCTAACCTGCAAAAATAAGGTGAGCGAACGTGTGTGTGTGCCTTGTGCCTGTGTGTGTGCCTGTGTGTGTGCCTGTATGTGTGCGTGTGTGTGTAGTGTGTGTGCGTGGCGTGTGTGTGTGTGTGTGTGTGTGTGTGTGTGTGTGTGTGTGTGTGTGTGTGTGTGTGTGTGTGTGTGCGTGTGTGTGTGCGTGTGTGTGTGCGTGTGTGTGTGCGCGTGTGTGGCCGTGTGTGCGCGTTGTGCGTGCGGCGTGTGCGTGTGCGTGTGTGTGTGTGTGTGTGCGTGTGCGTGTGTGTGTGTGTGTGTGTGTTGGGGGGTGTTCGTACGACTATTCGTTTAACTGCTAAATTTAAGAATCAAGAAATTTAAGAAAAATTTAAATTTTCAATGAAAACGACTATATTTTTTACTCACTTGCAATGAGTCACCTTTGTTTGCCTTTCGCACCCATTTTTCGAAATGAAAAATAACTTACTACTTTAAAATTTTAAACTTTGTTTCATAAACAGCACGTTATATTATTAAGCCTAGAGAAGTTTGTCCGTATATCATCTTATATTAGTTATTGATTACCTGTCTCTCAGCTGTGGCAGGTCGTAGTGGTTATCAGGCCTTTGCATCCAGTATTCGTTGCAGGTCCTCGTCAAGTCCGGTCCCGCGTTGCCCTTGTCCCGTCCCGAATATGCTTTAGGCGCACCTGGATGAACTAAGACCGTGAAAACGACGTTGCTATTAAAATAAAGCCTTTATTTTTTTGAATATTAGCTATAAGTGATATTGAAGAAAGAGTCAAAGATTAATTTTAACAGTTATGACAGCGTCATAGCGAAAATGCGAATAACGGTGTAAACGAGCACACAGTCCACGTGCTAGTAAGTGCACTTTGTTGCCCAAATCTCTGCCGCTAAGCTCGTTTTGTTATCAAGATGTAGATGCATTTTCACCCTGAGGACTGAGATGGAATGCCTCGTTTCCAGTAAAAAGGGTATCCAGCTTTATACACCATAAGAAACACAGATGTATTAAGCTGCTATTTTACGTGGCTCTTTTGAGTCTATGTGTCTAACCTGATCAATTAATCAATCAATTAAATATATGTATGAAAGACGACATGTTTGTTGTAATAACATGTTCATATTGTCCGTAAGAGGCGTCTATAGGAAATGATAGCAAATTGGTTTTAAGTGGCAGAGCCATAAAAGTTACAATATATACGTCCCACAGCTGGTCCCACTACTGCGTCTCAGAAGTGAGAGGAGGTACAGGCCTCCTCTCACTTCTAAGAAGTTCAAGGAAGTGTCCGCCGCGCTGCCCCAATGCGTGTTGGCGAACTACACATGTTGTAGAAATATTTTTTCTTATTGCTCAGATATCAGAAATCAGAAATCAGAAATATTTATTGACCATAACATAACAATCGTTACAGGCAAGTCATTGGTTACAAAAGTTTTTATAAATTTATAAGATTAAATTACATTATTCTATCTTAATTTAGTTACATTGACGCTTTACGTCATAGAATTAGGTAATTTATTTTGTTTGTACGTTACACAAGAATGATGATTCCATGAGTTGCATTGACATGTATTCGCTTAATTTGTAAAATGGGTTGTCCTCAAAAAATATTTAAGTTTCCGTTTAAATTTGCTATAGTTGTAGGCTGGTTAAACTATTTGGTAATTTGTTATACGTCAATATTATTGAGTAACGCCCCTGTTTTTTTACTTTCACTAATCTCTTTATGGGTAGAACACGTTTTTCATTATTACGTAGATTGTGTTGATTTATGTCTTTCTTTTTCGGTATTTCTTTATCCTCATGTACCTCTAATAAACTATTATATATATAAAGCGAAACCACTGTCATTATTTGGTCGTTCTTAAAGTGTTTTCTTGCCGGGCTACTTTTTTTTAGACCATTGATTATTCTTATAGATTGTTTTTGACATTTTAAAACTTTTATAACATCCGGAGCATTACCCCAAATAGTAATGGCATATCTTATTACATGTGATGTAGACATACTACACAGATATGAGTGTCTTTTTATCTAATAATGGCTTTAGCTTAAATAATGCGTAATTACCGCTAGCTAGTTTCTTACATGTTTTTCAATATGAGCTTTATAGTTTATTGTGCTATCTACTGTATATCCTAAAAATACATTTTCTTTTGTATTCGAGTTATCACGAATGCCTAGCCTAGGTTGGTAGTGCATTACAACGCTTTTATTAGGATTTAAAATAATACCATTTGCGCCAAACCATTCTTTTAGCAAACTGACAAGCTCATAACATTGGTAATCGTTATCGTCTAAATTTGATAGACTTTTATGATAGATATGTTCCTCAAAATATTTTCCTTCATCGATGAGCACGTAGTAAATCAGCACTTAAAATTGTAATTAACAATTTCATTGGTGCTGGCGTGGATCGAACCCGGGTAGCTCGCGCACTATGTAATTTAGCTACCACGGCTCTAGAGCCATTTTGCAGCTATACTTATTGATTGTAGCACGAATGGGTCGGCTCTACCGGTGAAGGAGATGCAGATGCATTCCCAGATGCGAGACCACGTCTGTAGGGTAGGTACCTTGACTCTTTATTTAGAATAGGTGTAGATGTTAATTGGTCACAGCTTGCAAGAAGGTACCCTATGAGCTAGTGTATAACTTTTATTTGTTAATTTTTATTTAAAACAACTTACCATAGACATAACAAGCGAAAGAAAGCGCTAAAGAAATGTCTGAAAGAGACAGAGATCCAGAAATGCAACTGAGAGAAAAGGAAAACAAATTTACCTGCCCTTGCAGCAGTGTATCCTGGTCTAACACTTCTGTATTTACACCACACGTACAGCACGGCTGCTCCAGCAGCCAGCATCGCTATCGTGATTCCAATACCCACGTAAAGGGTAACGTTGTTCTTGTACATCCCTAAAAATAAATAGAGTTCTTAATATTGTGTAATAGTCATCAAAAATCTGCAACTATATTTAACTGTATGGTTGCGCGGAAAACCATTCGCGTTTTTTATTTGACGGTAGGAACTTGTAGAATCATTATTCCTTTCCAAACAATATCATTCGTACCCTCCTATCGACACATCGGGGTGGTGGGGTGGGAGGGGAAAGAAGACGATTCTAGAACATCGCGTAATCACCCGAGCCGAGGATATATAAGACACGCGCGACCGATGCGCGAGCCTCTTCTCCCGCCGCAGTCGTCGTTGAACCAACGCTTCTCTCCTGACGCACCACTGGGGCCCCAGAAGTGTCTGTCCAGAGGAGGTTCCGGAAGTCGCCGCTATAGTGATCGACAGGAAGAAGAAACCCCGGTGAGTCAATATTCCTTAATTATACCTGCTTGCTAATAGTTTAACCCGCTCCAATCTGTGTTTTTTTTCCTAGTCAAGCAGGATTCCTTTCATCGATTCGACAAGTAATAGTTTAGTTTAGGGAAGAGCGAGTGCATTGTACCGCATGCTATAGTAGTCGCTTTTACGTAAGCGTAGAAGCAATCGCATATACAGTCCACTTTAGTTAATATCTCGCGTAATAGGTTTGAGGTTTGACCGGGGAACTAGATTTTCGGCAGCCTTAAACACGTGGCTCCACCATTTTATGGTCACTTCGGCAGGATCTGGATTGGTGTTTAGTGGTTATCCAACCATTTTCTGGTCGAATTATTAAATTAATTGTTTAGATAACGCACTCTAATTTATAGAATAGACTTAAATAGTGTTCGTTTAAATTAAAATTTTGATTTGTTACTCGCAAACAGAATTATTCATTTAATAGCGCTCGTATTTGGTTAAATTTAAAGCTTATTAAATAATTGAAACGGCGTGATAGCAACCGTTTGATACGCTTACCCCACAATTTTTATAAAATTATTAGGTTTAGCAAACGACGCGTAGCTTTGACTGCATCGGGCGCTCGATCTGATTACGTAATACGGCACGCCGAGTATTCATCCTACGTCGTTTATGCGTGTGAGATTAATTGTGATTAATATAACTTTATTATAATAATTTAAAATGGCAGTTAGTGGAAGTGAAATCAAAATTAAAACGCTTTATGCCAAGAGGGACATACTCTTTTCGCGTGTGCAGAATATAAGTGATTATATAAAGAACATTCATATAGAGGCAGTACGGGAGGCCTTTTTAAATGAAATCGAAACGATAGATAATTTGCGGACAGATTACGAAAGAATATTAGATCAAATTAATCATTCGGAACTACAAACCGACCCGAAATACATAGTGAACTACCAACCGCTGCTGGCATTCGAAGATATGTTGTGTCGCGTGAAGAGAACCGCAAAATTGCTACAATCTCAAGGTGAAGCGAAGCCCGAAATGCAGGTACGCCCTCGTGACTCAATTAGGTTACCGCCAATAGATATTCCGGTATTCAATGGTGATATTAAGACGTGGCCCTTCTTCTTCAGTAGTTTTCAAAACAATATACACAACAACCCATCGTTATCGGACGCTGAAAAATTATATTACTTAATTAGTAAACTTAGTGGCAGAGCACAATCGATATGCTCGGGTTTTACACCTACAGCAAACAATTACTTATTAATATTGGAAACGCTTAAAACTAAATATGAAGATAGGAGAATGTTAGCTTCCGAATATTTGAACCAGATATTCGATCTTAAACCTATATCATCCGCGAACATCAACGGCTTAGAGCAGTTTCTCGATAAATTTGTGGCATCGGTGGCTGCACTTAAGAATTTGAAGTTTAATGACCTCATGGACGTGGTGTTTCTCCATATAGCATTAAAGAAATTAGACTCCGACACCGTGCGTGCGTTTGAAATGGAGCATCGTAGCTCGGAGATGCCTTCCTTTCATTCATTAGCATCGTTCGTGCGAGATCAAATAAAGGTGATGCAGCGCTCACCGAACGTTAAACAGGAGATTAAAAGGTGCGTCGACCGTAGACAGACTCAACCATCTAAAATAGCAGGGTCGTTAACTTACGTAACCGCTACGCCGACATCACTCCAGCATACTTGTATAGTATGTAAAGATAAACACGGTAATTTATATAACTGTGCGACTTTTCGTAAATATTCACCAAGCGAACGTTATAAGTTAGTAAAAACAAACAACCTATGTTTGAACTGCTTAAGCGATAAGCATTTAGTTGCAAAATGCAATTCGAGTTCCGTATGTAGCAAGTGCGCCAGGAAACATCACACGCTATTACATTTTGAAAATAGCAACATAGCGGCGTCAAGTAAGGCGAATAAGGAATTCACCCCTACTAAAGTCAACGATTCTAGCGGTCGATCTGGTGATGTCGCTCTGTGCTCATTGGCAAATATGGGAGCACAACCTCCTTCAACCGTGTTACTGGGTACGGCGCGTATTTTGGTTAGGGATTCGCGTGGAAACAAACAAAGCGTCCGTGCACTGCTGGACAGCGGAGCCCAAAATAGCTTTATAACACGACAATGTTGTCAGCGCTTAGGCTTAGTAATAAATAGGTCACTTTCATGTCCTGTAGTTAAAGGCATCGGAGGTACTAGTAAAGCGACACAGGGATATATAAATTTAAAATTTTATTCTCGGATAGATCGTAACGTTAACTTTGATATAAATGCACTAGTAGTAGATAGGGTCACTGAACGGTTGCCAACCGTTTCGGTTGACACCTCGGCAATGATTGAATTTAAAAATTTGACTCTAGCAGACGACACTTACGCCGTTCCTGGAAACATAGACATGCTCATTGGGGCATCGCTTTTCCCTCATCTTTTGTTAAACAATAAGGTCAGGGGCAACTCCTCGCATACCGCGCCTTACGCACTGGAAACCGTATTGGGCTATGTGATCCTTGGCTCCGCCCCCATCCTAGATAGTATTTCGGCAGCCTCTTATTGTGGTATGGCTGTCGAACCGCTCGAGTCGTTAGTCCGCAAATTTTGGGAGATGGAGGAGGTGAACGTCCCACCCATAGCTAGTTCAGATGACAGGATATGCGAGGAAATTTACGTCCGCACGACCGTTCGTGATCGCGACGGTAGATATAGTGTAGCGCTACCCTTTAAGGGAGATGTTTTATCTCTCGGCGATTCGCGTCAAATGGCGGAAAAACGTTTCTACAGCTTGGAGCGTAGGATGCTCGCTTCGCCCCAGTTAAAGGAAGCTTACGACGGCGTCATTAACGAATATATAAGAGAAGGTTACATATCACTTGTGGCTTCGAAATTAGATAACTACGAAGACACACCGCCGTATTTTATACCACACCACGGAGTCATTAGAGAGGACAAACTTACATCTAAATTACGTGTAGTGCTCGACGCTAGTGCTAAAACTAGCACTCACCTGTCGCTTAACGATATCCTCTATAGTGGGCAAAATTTACAGGGCAGTTTATTTGATATAATAGTCAATTTTCGTTTGTTTAGTATAGCACTATCCGCCGATATTCGCCAAATGTTTCTTTGCATAGGGGTCCGTGAATGCGACCGTAGATTCCAGCGCATTTTATATCGTTTCCACCCAAAGGAACCTCTAATGGTGTTAGAATTTAACCGCGTTTGTTTTGGTTTAAAGTCGAGCCCATTTCATGCGTTACGCACGGTGAGACAGCTCGCTCACGATGAAGGTCCCTCTTATCCTAAAGCTAAGAGGGCAATTGAGAGCGGATTATATATGGATGATTTTGTGTATTCGGTCGATAGCGTGGAGGAGGCCACCCTAACCACCGCCGAGGTTATAAGGCTCATGAAATCGGGTCAATTCGATCTTGTGAAGTGGACTAGTAATTCGCGTCCGGTTTTAGATACAATCCCACTATCACACCGTCTTTCGGCGATAAAGGAATTCGACGATTCCGATACACACAAGGTGCTCGGTCTGTGTTGGTCACCAGAGTCCGACGTGTTTAGCCTTAAGGTAAATCCGCCCGTAGAGAAATGCACAAAGCGCACAATACTGTCATGCGTTGCTAGATTATGGGACGTCATGGGTTTCGTAGCTCCGGTGGTATTATACGCTAAGCTTTTGATTAAACAACTTTGGTTATTTGAATGCGATTGGGATGACTCGCCGCCTGACAGCATTGTTCGATTGTGGCAGCGCTTTAGAGAGGAACTTCCTTTACTAAGAGAAATTAAAATACCGCGTCATATAAATGTCGATAGAAATAGCAGCATAACGGTTGTTGGATTTGCAGACGCCAGCGAGAAGGCTTACGGGGGCGTTGTATATTTCCATGTCCAGAATAATGGTAGAAATTCGATTAGCCTCATTAGTTCTAAGTCGAGAGTCTCCCCCCGTAAGGTTGTCTCTCTGGCGCGCTTAGAGCTTTGCGCAATATTAGTACTCACCAAGCTTATTACCACAGTTATCGGCGCATGTAGGGATAGAGTTCACATAGAAAGAATATTTGCCTTTTCCGACTCCACCGTCGCCTTATGTTGGGTTCATTCTTCACCCCACCGTTGGGATACGTTTGTCGCGAACCGAGTGGCCAAGATCCAAGACGAGTTAGAAACGCGGAACTTTTATCACGTGTCCGGTAAGGAAAACCCTGCCGATTGTCTATCCTGGGGACTCACCCCGATGCAAATAATGGACCACCCGCTTTGGTTCCATGGACCTTCTTGGGTTCACTTGGATCCCTCACAATGGCCAATAACCGATTTCGAACCTTCGTCAGTGTCACAACCGCCGGAAGAGAAGAGACACGCTTTAGTGGCGAACGTTTCGAGCGAGGTTTCTCCAATCATTGCTCTGGCGAACCGCTTGTCCTCTTGGTCGAAATTATTGCGTAGCGTAATTTACGTTTGTCGATTCGCGAAGCTTTTACCGCGACGTCCGTATGTCTTAGCATCCGATTACAACTATGCCGAGTCGCTAGTATTACGTGAACTTCAACGTGCGCACTTCTCTGAAGAAATTACAA